TGTTTAATTAGAATACTTTCTATTTCTTTTATGTAGGGCAAAGCATACTTAGTTTTAAAACGACTTGTTAATTGTTTCAGGTAATCATTGAGACTTATGACGAACGAGGACAAATAAGGACAAATAGTGACAACTAGGGGACAACTAGGGACAACTAGGGTCTAATAGTGGACAAATAGTGGACAAATAGGGGACAAATAGGGACAACTAGGTGACAACTAGGGACAAATAGGGACAAATAGGGACAACTAGGGACAAATAGGGTACAATAGGGGACAATAGGGGACAAATAGGGGACAAATAGGGGACAACTAGGGACAAATAGGGGACAAATAGGGACAAATAGGGACAAATAGTTCACAAATAGTTGACAAATAGTTGACAAATAGGGGACAAATAGGGACAACTAGGGACAAATAGGGGACAAATAGGGACAAAAAGATGACAACTAGGGGACAACTAGGGACAAAAAGGGACAAATAGGGGACAAGTGTGTACAAGTAGTGGACAGCATACAATACAGAATCAGCAGTATCTGCAAATTTTTACATCAAAAAAAATATTTCGTACTTGTTTTAATTTAGTCTCGAAATACGTTCTTTCACATTGATCGATTTATCTATCTATTATTAAAATAACCTTAGTTTCAAACTTCTTAGAAAAAATCAAGAAGGATTCTATACAAAAAATAAAATAAAAAATAAAATAAAAAATAAAATAAAAATGACAACGGCGCGCATCGAACCCGCGACCATGCGCCCTCAATCAGAATTCGACCAATCAGATTTAAGGAAGTAAAAGTATCAGCCACATTGAAACCCAAAACATCTAGAAGAAAAAAACCGCATATCGACTTGCACTTTCTGCTACAGCACCGACACACTCACTTCCTACACGAAAAGAAAGTTCATCTCGATTTAATACCACACTCGAAAACACCGTAAATATGCCGTGAATTTTATTTATATTGTAAATAACGCATTATTGTGAGAAACAGAGCCCCTCATTTTCACGGAGATATGATTGCAAACAGTCTATAGAATGTAAAGCGGCAGCAGGAAAAACCAGAAGAACTGATTGTCTACTAATATTTATTGAGTATATGTACAATGAAATGCATTCTGTTTCCTTCTTCTTCTTCTTTCTCACAGGGTCCAGTGGTCGAGTGTAGTCCTTTTACCTTGCATACATAAAAACCAGAAGGAAATATTTAATACAGATACAAGGGCGATAATCCTGTCAGGGTCGGGGGGTTGCTAAGGAAAAATCCGCCATTTTGAAATTCAAAATGGCGGATTTCCTTAGCAACCCCCCCTCAAAGTAACATCTATTCATCATATATATATCGATACACGTAAGAGTTATATGTTTTACCTGAAAGTGCATAGGGCGTAAGAATTGTACCCGCTGACCCCATTGCATGTTTTCTTCTTTCTGAACAACTTTCTCCTTTCTGATGTCTCCCTTGACAATGCCTCACTTTAGGCATTTAGTTGAGCGTTCGCCCATGTGAGGAAGGCTTTGGGTTCTGTCCCCTGGCCGAAACATACCAGAGTCTGTAGTTTCTACTCCTGCTTAACGCTAAGCAATTTAGGAGTGGGACGACTGGCTCGCCCGTTGTCAGTATAATGTGACCGGGTGGGGTGTCCTGCTGGGTGTCTTCGGCAATATGTTTCAGTGAGACAGCACTATCAAGTCGGCATCAGTTCCGCGCTATCACAAGGAGACAAACACGAACATATCGCAGCCGCCCAAAACACACACGCATACACTACACACATGCATCTTGCACACAGGGTAGTTCGTCCTTAAATGACCATAGCTGTTGATAGGACGTTACACAATACTAAACCAAACCAAACCAAAAACTGAAAGTACACATGTTTGTGACGTCATTGATTGTGTTGGTGTGTTGGCGTACTCGTTTTCTGTGTTGAATGTTCGTTACTAATTCGATTGGTCAGAGTTGTTATTTGGTCAAATGACCAATCGCAGCACTTGCTTGACCATTCATATTGTGTTTTATATCGACGCTTATCCGACACATAACCGGAGACACTCTAAGGAGTCAGACATATATGAAAGACACTGCGTACTGTACTTCCAACTTTGCAACATTCAGTTTCTGTTATTGTCTTTAGTTGTTTATTGGAAAAAGTGAAAAATGAATTAGGCACATTAATTTAACTTTAATAAATTAAAATGATGGATTATTCAGATGAATTATTAAAACTAGTAGATATTTAACCCTAACATAGTAATAACATTATAAGTTACGGACTTTTGTGATGTGATATGAACCTGAACTAGTGATATTGACCGAGGCGAAGCCCGTAACTGTTTTATTTTATGCCTCAAAAATTTAAGAAAGCTCAAGGTACGGAATTGGTATTTACTGGGACTAGCCTCAGGGTTGAATCCAACAGTTCGGCATCGTGGTTTTTGTAGACATCGTCAAGGCTTTTTTGTTAAGATAAGCATGGAGGACACACACTGCGTGTTTGGTGGCTTTTTTGGGTTAAAAGCATCTTCATCTTCGAGTAGTTTTTGGAAATTTTCAGATGTAACGGAGGCAAAGCATACACCAGCAGGCATCTTCTGTTGTCGTCACGTTCCGGTCTAACTGCGCATGCACTACGACAGATTGCGGGGAATTTCCATATAGACTATTTTTAGAAATCGATATTAACCTGAAAACCAGTCTACATGAGCATTTGAGAACTAGTCACGTGTACAGGATCCTATGGAGCCCCCGAAGGGACATGGCAAAACATTTTACTAATCCGTGCGCACAAGTTACTAATCCGTGCGCACGATTAACCAAACCGTGCGCACGAATATTCCCATATATGACAGCCAATTTTTACCAATCAACGGGAAACCTACATAACGTAAGTATCGCGAACTTGACATAACTAACAAAGCAGCTATGAAGATTTACTCAAGGAAATTATTGATCATTTATTTGATATTGATTAGCACCAAAATGTCAAAATATGTAGTGTTATTTATTGCATACAGCTGGTAATTTTATAAACTGAAGCACTTTGGTTTGCCATTTCTCATTCAAATTCGTTTCCATGTATAACTCATCGCCCTTCCTGATACTCTATATTAGATGTGCTAGTTTATTTCACAAACTGTGCATTATTGTATCGTTTCCCTCCATGTTGTTTACCTCTTATGTCAACTTATCATAAAACGCAGTGACACTATGAAAACAGACCGCAGTTTACCCCCTCCTGTTGTCCATAAATTGGCTGTGACACTTTGAGAAACTGGGATAAACTGCCCCGCCCATATTGACATTGGTGACACAAATTTCGTCCAAGTTTTGATAGAATGGATGCAAATGTACATGGCTGACACTAAATATTGTAACGGGTTTATCACCTCAACTTCCACTCCATAAGTGGGCTCTGTAACGTGTTTTGAGATATTTTTCAACACCCGTCATCTTTGACTATATGGTGAATGCAGATTGCGATACACCGATAGTATTAGGGAGGGGAAACCAGCACGCTCCTATTAAGTCACGTTACGTTTGATTCCTAGGTATTGGTGCAAATCTTCCCCCGATCAATGCCTCTCACCAGTCATTGGATCCCCGGAAAGGTTCAGGCAATATTTTAGAAATCTCACAGACACATAGCTTTTTTTTTTTACTAAGTCCATATTTCGGACCTCGCCGTATCACATTAACATAAAGAGTCATACCCCGGACCAACGATCTCCCCGAATCCCATAGGGGAGCTGTATCTGCCAACCCTTGTCAGTACCTCAAATAAATAACATAACTTCAGAGTTAGATGAAAACAACAAATTCATCACAATATGCTGATTAGGATGCACGTGGTACATGTTTCTGGCAGTTTAGTCGTAATGTAAATAAAATCTATGTTAAAAAGTACAATCCGACCACTGGTGTCAAACCTATGGCTTACAAATAAAAAATAACAAATACATCAGTAACATTTGAACAAGGTAATATAGATGATTCTACATTAAGACTAGCCGCAGTGTGGGAGAAAACCGGAGAACCCGGAGAAAACCAATCTGGTCTGGCAGGTGACTTCATACCTTCTCCTGTCCGATCGGGGAATTGAACCCAGGTCGCCTTGGTGAAAGGCAAGTGCGCTATCCAGTGCGCCACCTGACCACATCGGTAGTGTGTGAAGGCCCTTTAGGAAACACTTTTCGAAACTTCAGAGATGCTTCAACTGAATACAGTAAAAATTAGCTATTAATAGTTGATTTGGACCTAATACAGCAAACGTAATCTGAGAAAGTGTGTTGTATGAAACACATGTAGATATAAGGTACTTACAGGTGAATTTAAGCTTTTATGAAACAGTCTATAATGGAGTTCCCATTGTTTCATGCAACAACACCTTCCTATTGTTGGAAAATATGTTTGCACTCAGAGAACATCTCATTCTAAATGATACGACTGTTCCTGGATACTTGCTGTGGAAACCATCAGTGCAATGCAATATACATTATGAATGATTCGGGACCAGATTTGATGCAGCACTTTTAATTAGGAGAGACACTGTGACATATCTGATGTGACGGGCTTCCCAGCTTAGTAAGCTGACAACATCTAACAGGGGAGACACATACTTGATGTGACGGGCTTCCCAGCTTACTGTCAACATCTAACAGGGGAGATATATAGTCCGGACCAGATCCGACAGGATATTCCGAATCATATCTGATATTAAAAATATATATTACGAATCAGATCTGACATGAGGCCCATATATTCGGGACCGGATGTGATGGGATAAGATAAATAGTTAAATATTTTTCGACCAGATCCAATAGAGGACATTCATATTCAAAACCGAATCTGACGAGAGATACTTTTATTCTGGTAAGAACAATTCTGTCAAAAGGGAAATAAATATGCACCGGATATGACAAAAGAGCCATATATTTCGGACCGGATCTGAAAGAAGGGACTTGCATTCCGGCCTAACTCGGGCAAACGGGACAATATGAAGCTGGTTTTAATACTGTTTATCACGTGTCTATACGTAGATGGAAGCAACCGAACATACAAACGGAAACTTCGTGTCATAATTGACAATGATGCAGAAACTAACAGTTACACGGTAACGAGCCAAGCCGAGTGTTTTAAACGATGTACAGAAGATTGTGTCGCTCTTTCCTACACGGCTTCGGAAGGACGATGTAAAACATTTAATCGTAAATTTGAGGACAGCAGCAGTTCAGACATCAGCATCTCAACAATGTTCTTCTACAGAACCGCACAAGGTAAGTATATTGTATTGTTGTATTTAGCTGAAAAGCCCGACTACAATTATTTCAAATGTTTCTCAATAAACTACATAACCTGGGGAGTCGAAACACTTTTATTAATAACAATACGTCCTTTAATAAGACAGGGTAAGATATTTAGACATTTGTCCAATTTACAATATGGCCATATACAACACATTACATATACATATTACATGTAGTAGGACGAGGAATAGTTAAAGGTTAAAAGTAGAAGTAAATTGCACAATAATAATTAGCATGAATTACGTATAGAAACTAGTCATAACATTCAATCATCTAATAGTGATAAAGATAGTGCCATCGCTGGGGCTCGAACCCACGACCCTTGGCTCTCCAGCTCGATACTCTACCGCTGATCTAAAGGGAAATTCATACAGCTGACGCTTGTAAGGCAACCTAACACTGCACATCTTTTACGTGCGCTGTATACTGTGATGTAAGTGATACCAGGTCAATGTCTTGCTATTATTTTGTTTGTTTTATATTTGCTTGTCATAGTATTTCCTATAATATGAGGAGGCAGTACCCAAATCGGATCAGTACCCAAATCGGATCACCTTTTGCAAAAATACTTATAAATAAATAAATGTGTCAAAAAATCAGTTATAACAGTGATGTAGTCTGAGAATAGATAGCCATGCACCATTTTTTTGTCTACAGCTGATTTGGTTTTAAGTTCAAATAGCACAAGAAAACGTTATTTAAACTCAGATGTCAGTGTTTTGACCACGTTTTTAGAAAATGGCGCGTGCGATGACTATGCATTCTGTTTTGGACTGTAGGAATAAATTTTCACATAGAAATACTTTTTGTCATATAAATTCTAAAGGTCATCCTAAAATGTTAATATGCTGACAAAAAAATATTCATTTGAAGCGTAAGATAATGCAAAATTCAAGCCTTGATCCGATTTGGGTCCTGACATTCAACAAAAATGGAGACGCTGATTGTTGACTTCAGAGCGTTCTATAAATATCTCAAGTGATCCCCGTGTGCTAATTGCGTTTGTAAGAACACCCATCGGTATTCTTTCTTTGATACAACCATAAATGAACATAATTCCTCCTTCAGATTTTTCAATGATCTGATTTGCGTACTGTCACCTTAAACTTTGAATGAATGAACTAGCTGGTATCTTACACATTTTCTGTTTTATTATGTTGTGTATAACATTTCTAACATGTCTGTTGTTAATTGACCATATTGTGTATGTAAATGATGTATTGTGAAGAAAAAATGTAATTGGCATTGGCCTTGAATAGTCTGAGTAAGTATTACAATCATAAGATAATATATATTAACGAGAAAAGAAACCAAATTGATAAATGTTTCTTAAAATGAAACCTTAAGAACCGGACCAATGGTCTTTTACTATTGAAGTGCATCTTCAGCATTATGGCATACAAGTACGAGAATCAAAGGATGAGTGTATATAAGGCCCTTTTTTGGGCCCGGGTATATTCGGATTTTCACCTCCTTAATTTGTTCAAATATGTCCTATTGTATTACATGTGCAAAAACTAAGGTAACAGTTTGACCGAAAGAGGACTTTTGGGGGTAACAAAAGGGGTAGGGTAAACCAATGCATGTGTCATAAAAGAACACTAACGTGGGGCCCCAATTAGAATCGGGGTGTTTCTTCCGTATCTTCTATGAAGGGGTCACGGAAGATACCAAAATTGATCTGCCGCTCAATCACAACTCTTTTTTTTATTTCCTGTCTCTCCTATCTTCATTTTTTCTATCTACGTTCTGTTTCAGGCGGCGTCTCCTTAGGCACCCGTCCTCATATGACCCTGGCTGTTGTGTCCCCCTAGGAATCCGTCCTCATATGACCCTGGCTGTTGTATCACCCTAGGCACCCATCCTCATATGGCCCTGGCTGTTGCGTCACCCTAGGCATCCGTCCTCATATGGCCCTGGATGTTGTGTCCCCCTAGGCACCCGTACTCATATGGCCCTGGCTGTTGTGTCTCCCTAGGCACCCGTCCTCATATGACCCTGGCTGTTGTGTCCCCCTAGGCACCTGTCCTCATATTACCCTGGCTGTTGTGTCCCCCTAGACACCCGTCCTCATGTGACCCTGGCTGCTGTGTCTCCCTAGGCACCCGACCTTATGTGACCCTGGCTGTTGTGTCTCCCTAGGCACCCGTCCTCATGTGACCCTGGCTGTTGGGTCTCCCTAGGCACCCGTCCTCATGTGACCCTGGCTGTTGTGTCTCCCTAGGCATCCGTCCTCATGTGACCCTGGCTGTTGCGAGGACGTTTAACCGCAAACAAACAAACGCTCTGTCGGAAACGCTTTGTTTCTATAGTTCTGTGTATCATTTCCAATCTCACTAACTCATCTATTACGCCTTCTAAAGTATATATTCTCAGTAGACACATTTGTTATTGACTAATTCCCCAGGTAGTAATATCGATTGTAGATGTTTATAACTAATTCATTTTATCATTACTTTTTTTCCCACCTCACCGAGCTAGAACAGTCTATTCATGAATGATTTAATGCAGCTCCTCAATCAGGTATGGTACGATGCTGAACAATGAGGCGTGTATAAGTAGGGACATTGATTAAGTGTAGTACCTTCGCAGTTCAGTGAACAATAGATCTGCTGTATCTTACTTAATGGTTGTTAAAGGCGCCCAATACGGGATCAACTGCAGAATAAAGGGGATTCCTTCTGTGTCCTCTGCATAGAGGACCGTAAAGAGATCAAAACTGACCTGCTTCCTAATTGCTACCCTCGAGACCTATACCTTATCTTACTTTACTTCTCTTACTTTTCGGTAGTGTCTCCGTATGTACCCATCTTCATATGACCTTAGCTGCAGTGAGGACGTTAAACCTATTCAATCAAGGAAAGCCTTAATACAGAAAGTTATGTTCAAACGATAGCATAAAAAAATACAACATTTAATATAGAGCCCTATCTAGCTAGAATAAGCCACTATACACCACTTTACAGTACATATATATACAATTAGCATATATATATATATATATCTTAATTTAGTTATTTTCTTTTTTTTACGTTTTATAGAACCAAACATTCGTGGCGATTAAGAAACAACCCGTTTGATATGAGGCACGATAGTCTGTTGGTAGGGGGGCTCGTGACCGAAGGGTTGCCGGTTCGAGTCACGTGACTGCACTGTGGTGTATCTTTGAACAAGATACTTTACTCCGCTTTTCCCATTCTTCTCAGCTGTAAATGTGTACATGGTTAGGCAGTGCTGGCACTGTTGAATGATAGCTGTGAGCGCCGAAATGGCGGCACCGGCTGTATGCTCCCCAGGGAGTTGAGAAAGATATTGGCTGGTTGCAAAGGCCCTATAACCACGGATGATAATTTGTGAACCGCTTTGAGACGACTTACTTAGTTTGTGAAAAAGCGGTATAATAGAACCTCGAATGATTATTATTATTATGAAAATATCAGCCTGACGCCGGGAACTTCACACACGATTTATTGTTCAGAATCTTGCCATACATTCGTGTTATTACAACGATACATTTCATTTTGTTTGTAATAGTGACCTGGTACAATCACTGTTATTTCCCGCACAGAGCATCCTTCACCAATTCTATCCTGAGTACTGCACAGTTACTAGCTGTCAGACACCCTGTCAACAAACATGAATAAATTACTACCACCTAGAAATCTGAGATTGTAAGATAAAAACTCATTTAGGCTCATAGAAGTGTTGGTAAATACTTAAAGGACATTCGGGACAAACCTGAAGGTAATACGTCACGAGCACATTACCTAAAGAACGCTTTTTTAAAAATGTAAAAAGTGAATGAAAGTTAAATGTCAGTTTATTCTTATCAACGTTTAGACTGATCAGCGAATTAGCACTGACGCTTATATTTCTTTAGAAGAACCTATACCTTGCAGGACTATAACAAATATTACATATAAAATAAAGAAAAGAGTACTATCAACAACCGGTTTCTGGGCATAACAATCAAGAGGGAGACAGACCTGGATTTGAACCATGGATCACAGATTGTGATGACGTCAGATTACGATGACGTCACTCTAACCAACTGAGCTACCCAGTCAACCCCTGCCTATCTGCGACACAGCTATTTAGGGGGTTACTGTATAAACGATCGATGAGGAATGCTCTTGTGTTTCGCCTGCATCTGAATAGAGACCCTTAATGTAATCAATATAGATAGGAATGCATGTATTCCATGATATCCGGAATCTAAGCAGGGAGATATGCTTAAACGGAACTTAGTTACATTACTATATTTAAGTCAGTTATACCCAATCTCTATTGCCCCCCCGGCCTTTTTATGGGGGGGGGGGGGGGGGGGGGCATATTCTTAATAAACTGTTGCAATAATTAGTTGTTATGGTTACAATGTTTTATCAGACATATATGGAACAAATATTTATCAATTAAAATTGCTTATAAATGTGTTGAAAAATAAGTTTGTGACACGGCTTGCGCATTCCCATTGCAAACTTCATGGTGATTATTTAGTTTAGTGACGTTTAATCCTGAAACTTATGAATAAATTATAAAATATAATGTGTATTTTATATCTGGTTTTAGATTTTAAAGATGTTTAAGTGTGGAATATGCCTGTTTATTTCTTGTGTTCAACAGTAATATCTGAAATGTTTGTACTATATTTCAGATTGTGAAGATGTGTACCCTCGGAACGGATCGGGAGTTTACCATATAGAGACGCAGGGAGGGGACACTTATAACTTGTACTGTGATATGGAGACTGCGGGGGGTCCATGGAATGCAAGTATCATGTGACGTTTGTAGAATGACGTGCATTGAGAAATATATTGTCTTATTAAACCATGAAATGTTTTACTTTTGGACGGCAAATTGACAAATAATGTGCATGTTATAATCATCTTTCAAATACAAGATGCCCAATTCTGTTGGTGGACGTTTTATTCCCCGAAGTTTGTGATACCCGTGATTGGCCCAGTTACCCCTTTTTAGTAATGACACAGTTCATAATATACACACTGTCCGTATGTTTCAATGAGAAATTAAACAGTACTCCTTTAACATTTTCAATTAATGAATTAATGATTATACGCACCTGTCCCCCTGTTTCAACATAAACTTAGACAATTTGGATTTCAAACTTTTGGCCCCCTAACATCACCGATGTGTACTAGCAGTACTACACAGCTGTATGATGTGTCCTAACAGTACGACACACCTGTATGATGTGTCCTAGCAGTACGACACACCTGTATGATGTGTCCTAGCAGTACGACACAGCTGTATGATGTGTCCTAGCAGTACGACACAGCTGTATGATGTGTCCTAGCAGTACGACACAGCTGTATGATGTGTCCTAGCAGTACGACACAGCTGTATGATGTGTCCTAGCAGTACGACACAGCTGTATGATGTGTCCTAGCAGTACGACACAGCTGTATGATGTGTCCTAGCAGTACGACACAGCTGTATGATGTGTCCTAGCAGTACGACACAGCTGTATGATGTGTCCTAGCAGTACGACACAGCTGTATGATGTGTCCTAGCAGTACGACACAGCTGTATGATGTGTCCTAGCAGTACGACACAGCTGTATGATGTGTCCTAGCAGTACGACACAGCTGTATGATGTGTCCTAGCAGTACGACACAGCTGTATGATGTGTCCTAGCAGTACGACACAGCTGTATGATGTGTCCTAGCAGTACGACACAGCTGTATGATGTGTCCTAGCAGTACGACACAGCTGTATGATGTGTCCTAGCAGTACGACACAGCTGTATGATGTGTCCTAGCAGTACGACACAGCTGTATGATGTGTCCTAGCAGTACGACACAGCTGTATGATGTGTCCTAGCAGTACGACACAGCTGTATGATGTGTCCTAGCAGTACGACACAGCTGTATGATGTGTCCTAGCAGTACGACACAGCTGTATGATGTGTCCTAGCAGTACGACACAGCTGTATGATGTGTCCTAGCAGTACGACACAGCTGTATGATGTGTCCTAGCAGTACGACACAGCTGTATGATGTGTCCTAGCAGTACGACACAGCTGTATGATGTGTCCTAGCAGTACGACACAGCTGTATGATGTGTCCTAGCAGTACGACACAGCTGTATGATGTGTCCTAGCAGTACGACACAGCTGTATGATGTGTCCTAGCAGTACGACACAGCTGTATGATGTGTCCTAGCAGTACGACACAGCTGTATGATGTGTCCTAGCAGTACGACACAGCTGTATGATGTGTCCTAGCAGTACGACACAGCTGTATGATGTGTCCTAGCAGTACGACACAGCTGTATGATGTGTCCTAGCAGTACGACACAGCTGTATGATGTGTCCTAGCAGTACGACACAGCTGTATGATGTGTCCTAGCAGTACGACACAGCTGTATGATGTGTCCTAGCAGTACGACACAGCTGTATGATGTGTCCTAGTAGTACGACACAGCTGTATGATGTGTCCTAGCAGTACGACACAGCTGTATGATGTGTCCTAGCAGTACGACACAGCTGTATGATGTGTCCTAGTAGTACGGCACAGCTGTATGATGTGTCCTAGTAGTAAGACACACCTGTATGATGTGTCCTAGCAGTACGACACAGCTGTATGGTGCAGACTAATACAGTTTGGTTTACTGGATCTATTACCAAATTCTAAAAGTACAATCAACGTTATGTTTGTAATGGTCGTCTTTAACTTTCAATTTCACACTGTTATGTCATAACCATGATATTTACACATTATTTCTATGATTAGACCGAAGGGTAAAGCATGTACTCTAAAAAGAGGAAATATTTACGATATGGTTATTATCGCGAACATTTCCACGCGCAAATTCATATGAGAGATTTGTAATTAAACATGTAGAATGTATAAATTGTAGAACCATTGAATTACAATGGTTTATTCCCCTTTTCTGGCATTGAAATTCAGGAATAAAACGACCATTCGACTGGAAAAGAAATAACAAAGCCCCAACAGTAACTCCAATAATCACAGTACTGCATCATATTAGGGTTTTGATTTTTTTCAGATTTGATATTGTCACAATAGGTGCAATTGTTGAAATAGCTTAATATATATTTGAAGAAATTACGTTATTTGTATTTCTCTGTTGTTACAAAACTCCAGGTTATACAGAACAGAGGAGATGGAGATGTGGACTTCTATCGCAACTGGACTTCGTACAAAACAGGCTTCGGGAACCTGGAGGGCGACTTCTGGTTAGGTAAATATAGTCACTGAGAGGGTCTTACAAGGCTTCGGGAACCTGGAGGGCGACTTCTGGCTAGGTAAATATAGACACTGAGAGGGACTGACAAGGCTTCGGGAACCTGGAGGGCGACTTCTGGCTAGGTAAATATAGACACTGAGAGGGATTGACAAGGCTTCGGGAACCTGGAGGGCGACTTCTGGTTAGGTAAATATAGAAACTGAGAGGGACTGACACGGCTTTTAGAACCTGGAGGGCGACTTCTGGCTAGGTAAATATAAAAACTGTTAGAGTTAATAAAATGGTTTTCCTTTATTATAACAGGTAAAAGTGTTAGAGTTAATAAAATGGTCTCCCTTTATTGTAACAGGTAATGATGTTAGAAGGGGAGCTGATAAAATAGTCTCCCTTTATTGTAACAGGTAATGATGTCATAGTTAATAAAATGGTCTCCCTTTATTGTAACAAGTAATGATGTTAGAGTTAATAGAATGGTCTCCCTTTATTGTAACAGGTAATGAGGTTAGAGTTAATAAAATGGTTTCCCTTCATTGTAACAGGTAATAATGTTAGAAGGGGAGTTAATAAAATGGTCTCTCTTTATTGTAACAGGTAATGATGTCATAGTTAATAAAATGGTCTCCCTTTATTGTAACAGGTAATGATGTTAGAGTTAATAAAATGGTCTCCTTTTATTGTAACAGGTAATGATGTTAGAGTTAATAAAATGGTCTCTCTTTATTGTAACAGGTAATGATGTTAGAGTTAATAAATTGGTTTCCCTTTAATGTAACAGGTAATGATGTTAGAGTTAATAAAATGGTCTCCCTTTATTATAACAGGTAATGATGTTAGAGTTAATAACATGGTCTCCCTTTATTGTAACAGGTAATGATGTCAGAGTTAATAAAAATGGTCTACCATTATTGTAACAGGTTATGATTTTAGAGTTAACAAAATTGTTTCCCTTTATTATAACAGGTAATGATGTTAGAGTTAATAAAATGATCTCCCTTTGTTATAACAGGTAATGATTTTAGAGTTAATAAAATGGTCTCCCTTTTTTATATCAGGTAATGATGTCAGAGTTAATAAAATGGTCTCCCTTTATTATAACAGGTAATGATATAAGAGTTCATAAAATGGTCTCCCTTTATTGTAACAGGTAATGATATCACAGTTAATAAAATGGTCTCCCTTTATTATAACAGGTAATGCTGTTATAGTTAATAAAATGGTCTCCCTTTGTTATAACAGGTAATGAAGTTAGAGTTAATAAAATGGTTTCCCTTTATTGTATTAGGTAATAATGTTAGAAGGGGAGTTAATAAAATGGTCTCCCTTTATTGTAACAGGTAATGATGTTAGGGTTAATACAATGGTCTGCCTTTATTGTAACAGGTAATGATGTAAGAGTTAATAAAATGGTCTCCCTTTATTGTAACAGGTAATGATGTCATAGCTAATAAAATGGTCTCCCTTTATTGTAACAGATAATAATGTAAGAGTTATAAAATGGTCTCCGTTTATTGTAACAGATAATGATGTAAGAGTTATAAAATGGTCTCCCTTTAATGTAACAGGTAATGTTGTTAGAGTTAATAAAATGGTCTCCCTTTATTGTAACAGGTAATGATGCAAGAGTTAATAAAATGGTCTGCCTTTATTGTAACAGGTTATGATGTAAGAGTTATAAAATGGTCTCCCTTTATTGTAACAGGTAATGATGTTAGAGTTAATAAAATGGTCTGCCTTTATTGTAACAGGTAAAGATATTAGAGTTAATAAAATTGTCTCCCTTTCTTGTAACAGGTATTGATTTCATAGTAAATAAAATGGTCTCCCTTTATCATAACAGGTTATGATGTTCGAGTAAACAAAATGGTCTCCCTTTATTGTAACAGGTGATGAGGTTAGAGTTAATAAAATGGTTTCCCTTTATTGTAACAGGTAATAATGTTAGAAGGGGAGTTAATAAAACGGTCTCCCTTTATTGCAACAGGAAATGATGTTAGACGGGGAGTTAATAAAATGGTCTCCCTTTATTGTAACAGGTAATGAGGTTAGAGTTAATAAAATAGTTTCCCTTCATTGTAACTGGTAAAAATGTTAGAAGGGGAGTTAATATAATGGTCTCCCTTTATTGTAACAGGTTATGAGGTTAGAGTTAATAAAATGGTCTGCCTTTATTGTAACAGGTTATGATGTAAGAGTTATAAAATGGTATCCCTTTATTGTAACAGGTAATGATGTTAGAGTTAATAAAATGGTCTGCCTTTATTTTAACAGGTAAAGATATTAGAGTTAATAAAATTGTCTCCCTTTCTTGTAACAGGTATTGATTTCATAGTAAATAAAATGGTCTCCCTTTATCATAACAGGTTATGATGTTCGAGTAAACAAAATGGTCTCCCTTTATTGTAACAGGAAATGAGGTTAGAGTTAATAAAATGGTTTCCCTTCATTGTAACAGGTAATAATGTTAGAAGGGGAGTTAATAAAATGGTCTCCCTTTATTGTAACAGGTAATGAGGTTAGAGTTAATAAAATGGTTTCCCTTCATTGTAACTGGTAAAAATGTTAGAAGGGGAGTTAATATATTGGTCTCCCATTATTGTAACAGGTAATGATGTTCGAGTTAATAAAATGGTCTCCCTTTATTGTAACAGGTAATAATGTTAGAAGGGGAGTTAATAAAATGGAATCACTTTATTTTAACAGGTAATGATGTTAGAGTTAATACAATGGTCTCCCTTTATTGTAACAGGTAATAATGTTAGAGTTAATAAAATGGACTACCTTTATTGTAACAGGTAATGCGATGATTAACAAGCTCACAAAGCAGGAGTGTAAACTGTTGGTACAATTAGAGGCGTGGGATGGTAGTATGGGATACGCTGAGTACGCCCGTTTTCAGGTGGCGGACGAGGTAAACAAGTACAAGGTGCTAGTTGATGGATTCACAGGAAATACAAGTAAGTAGGCTTAATTTAATCAGACAATATATTGACTTACACGTGACCACGTCCTGGCCAGGCGACACCCCCTCTTATCCTGATTCCAGGACTTTCAGAAACTGATGTTAGCAGGATGAATACATCAAGCATTGAACTGTGTTGTTATGACATTTTCATGTATATATAGTAATCTCCCCTTAACTTCCTGAAGGATCCCTGTCCAACCGCACTGTGATTTTTTATATTTAGTTACCTCCCCTTAACTTCCTGCAGGATCCCTGTCCCACTGCACTGTGCTTTTCTTTATATATAATTACCTCCCCTTAACTTCCTGATGGATCCCTGTCCCACTGCACTGTTTTTTTTATATATAGTTACCTCCCCTTAACTTCCTGCAGGATCCCTGTCCCACCAAGCTGTGGTATTCTGTATATACAGTAACCTCTTTTTAGTTTTGTTTTGGTTGTAACTACTGTAACACAGGTGTGTCAAATCGATTCCATTGACCGGGTAGCTCAGTCTGTTAGCGCGGTAGTTAAAACAACCAAGGCTCGTACATTCTTTGCAATAATATCATCACTAGTGTTCTGGGTGTAAAAAGGTAAGCGGTCTAGACCAGGAGTCGATGGAATTCAGAGCCCGTATTCACGAAACTAGTCTGACCGCCTAACCTTTGATCATTATTGATGATTATGCTTTGCTTATTACATCTTTATGAAGTTCCCTTAAAGTCCCATGCTATGGATTTCTTTTCAGAAATTATTTATCAAAAGTATAGTTATGCCGAAATCAACAGTTCCCTATGGGTAGTTTCAGTTTATTGCTGTGGTACGGGGAACCTGAAGGGAACTCAAGAATCACTGAAAAGACTTTTATTCAAATTCAGATAAAGCCAATATAAACAAACATCTGAATAATACAAGTTTAGCAAGCTAGAGGTGTGATGCTAGATTTAGGAGTTGCGTCCCCTTAACACCATGTAATATCATTACATACCATGCTATCGAAGAGATCTTTCAATTAGCCCAGCCCAATGTCGAACCCTTTATTTTTATGCAATCTTATATCTTGTAAAAAAATGAATAGAAATATAAGTATTAGATAGTTTAAACATTGTTTTTCTTCAATAACCAAACATATGTTTATTTTGTATTTAATATATGATTTCATTGGGATAGAAAAACAATCATTCATTTATTCCTCTCATGATGCTGTTACATAACAGGTAAGCAATTAATGCCAATTAGGCCTCTTGTTATGGTCTAGACAGGAAGGATATTCAAATTAGTTCTTGTTTTTAATACTGTGAAATGATCCTTATCAGATTTCTGTATTTTAAGGCTGTAAGTACAGTCACAGATTTCTGTATTTTAAGGCTGTAAGTAAAGTCACAGATTTCTGTATTTTAAGGCTGTAAGTACAGTCAGAGATTTATGTATTTTAAGGCTGTAAGTACAGTCACAGATTTCTGTATTTTAAGGCTGTAAGTACAGTCACAGATTTCTGTATTTTAAGGTTGTAAGTACAGTCACAGATTTCTATATTTTAAGGCAGTAAGTACAGTCACAGATTTTTGTATTTTAAGGCTGTAAGTACAGTCACAGATTTCTGTATTTTAAGGTTGTAAGTACAGTCACAGAGTTCTATATTTTAAGGCAGTAAGTACAGTCACAGATTTTTGTATTTTAAGGCTGTAAGTACAGTCACAGATTTCTGTATTTTAAGGCTGTAAGTACAGTCACAGATTTCTGTATTCTAAGGCTGTAAGTACAGTCACAGATTTCTGTATTTTAAGGCTGAAAGTACAGTAAAAGATTTATGTATTTTAAAAGTGGAAGAGTTTTTTATGTTGTAAATACATTTGATACACAATTGCAAATGTCATATATGTTTTCTGTTTCCTAATATGATCAACATGTGGTTCGTAATTTGCAGGTAATTCGTTCGAAAGACAGAGTGGCTATAAGTTTTCGACCTTTGACCAAGACAATGACATCTTCCAGGAGCATTGCGCTGTTGTGTTTCGCGCAGGTTGGTGGTTTAAAGACTGCAGTAGTACAAACCTCAATGGCCCGTATGCTAGTGATACAGGAACGGACAAAAGGTTATCTATGCACTGGCAAAGTTTCTTCTCAGACCGCTCGACGGTTCTAATGAAGAAGTCCCGGATGTTGATAAAGAGACAAAAATAATCTTTAGGACATGGAGAGTAATATATGTTAATTTCTTACTGTTCAAGCAATCTTAATGCAAACGAAACAACACTCTATTTCAGGATTTAATATTTACCATTGTGCATGTGTGGTATTGTATACAACCGTGCGATATTCAAATGACATTTATATCAGCTAAGAATGCCATGACCCGATTTTCTACGTCATCAGGATGCTGATGACGTCAAAATAGTAACAGCTGATACCAATAATCCTTATTGGACTGGTGGTTTTTCTATCAATTGAATGGTTATATACAGACAATTACTATGAGCAGATAAATGTTTAACAGCTCCCGTAGATTGAAGCTAAAGTGTCTATCAGCTACCTTTTTTTTGACCCTATATTGTTTATCAGCTCCTGTATATATACATTCAAGTGTTAATCAGCCAATGTAGATTAAGTCTAAAGTATTTATCAGCTCCTATAGATTAAGCCTAAAGTATTTATCAGCTCCTATAGATTAAGTCTAAAGTATTTATCAGCTCCTATAGATTAAATCGAAAGTGTTTATCAGCTCCTATAGATTAAGTCTAAAGTGTTTATTAGCTCTTATAGATTAAATCGAAAGTGTTTATCAGTTCCTATAGATTAAGTCTAAAGTGTTTATCAGCTCCTATAGATTAAATCTAAAGGGTTTATCAGCTCCTATAGATTAAATCGAAAGTGTTTATCATCTCCTATAGATTAAGTCTAAAGTGTTTATCAGCTCCTATAGATTAAATCGAAAGCGTTTATCGGCCTCTGTAGATTAAGTCTAAAGTGTTTATCAGCTCTTATAGATTAAATCGAAGGTGTTTATCAGCTCCTATAGATTAAATCTAAAGTGTTTATCAGCTCCTATAGATTAAATCGAAAGTGTTTATCATCTCCTATAGATTAAGTCTAAAGTGTTTATCAGCTCTTACAGATTAAATCGAAAGTGTTTATCAGTTCCTATAGATTAAATCGAAAGTGTTTATCAGCTCCTATAGATTAAGTCTAAAGTGTTTATCAGTTCCTATAGATTAAATCGAAAGTGTTTATCAGCTCTTATAGATTAAATCGAAGGTGTTTATCAGCTCCTATAGATTAAATCTAAAGGGTTTATCAGCTCCTATAGATTAAATCGAAAGTGTTTATCATCTCCTATAGATTAAGTCTAAAGTGTTTATCAGCTCTTATAGATTAAATCGAAGGTGTTTATCAGCTCCTATAGATTAAATCTAAAGGGTTTATCAGCTCCTATAGATTAAATCGAAAGTGTTTATCAGCCTCTGTAGATTAAGTCTAAAGTGTTTATCAGCTCTTATAGATTAAATCGAAGGTGTTTATCAGCTCCTATAGATTAAATCTAAAGGGTTTATCAGCTCCTATAGATTAAATCGAAAGTGTTTATCAGCTCTTATAGATTAAATCGAAAGTGTTTATCAGCTCCTATAGATTAAATCTAAAGTGTTTATCAGCTCCTATAGATTAAATCGAAAGTGTTTATCAGCTCCTATAGATTAAATCTAAAGTGTTTATCAGCTCCTATAGATTAAATCGAAAGTGTTTATCAGCTCCCGTATATTAAGTCTAAAGTGTTTATCAGCTCCTGTAGAGTGTTTTGGGTTGCTTTAGATTAAATCTAAAGCGTTAATTATGTCTTGTTTATTGCCTTTCAAACGTTTATCAGCTCCTGTAGATAAATAAACAAACACTTCCCCTTATATTAATTGTTAATGAGGTCAATTATATTATATTTTTATTTAAGTTTCTGTAAAATCAAAGATATTCCCATATATTTACTTTTTATTCATTTACTTAGATGCAGATCTATAATGTTTATGCGCTCTCGAAAAAATGAAACATTTCTCCGTGTATTTTTTGTTTATGAGTTCAAATAGATTATATTTATAATGTTTATCAGCTTTGTAGTTCAAAAACAAACAAATATGATCCCCAATAATCAATCGGCTATTTTTTCAGGTAGATGAACCGATCAAATTAACTAAGAATCTCCCATGCATTACTATTGGTTAAATTATATTATCTTAACTATCCCTGTATATCGTTTTATCTCCAGCAGACACATCTTTATAATTTATTTTGAAGAATACATTTGTTTTGTTCATTAGCGCCTGTGGATCAAAATATTCAGTATATACCATGTTATGTTCATGAGCTTCAAACGATCAATCGACGAAGCCTGTCCCCGTTTACTGTTTTTCTAACCAAGTGAATACATTAGATCAGCTTGTTCTTAGTTCCCCACTTTAAAAAAAACCAGGGAGAAAAGACTATTATTAGAAGGTTATAGACTGTCCTGAGTAGTATTGGCAATATTTACCTGTGTTTTTATCCTTCTATCTTAGTTTGTGTTTTATCTAAGCTAGGAGCTGCTAATATTTAATTCGTCAATACATCATATAAGATTTTCAGATTTTTAATAACAAATGTTAAAATAGAAAATATTTCAATATTAATTATATGTATAAAAATACATATCCAATATTGAATATATTTATTTTATGGTCTTTGTGCTGCTGATCTGACATATAATAAGATGAAATGTGTTATTATATTTTGTAATAATTTTGTACTTTAACTATATTCCAATACGGTCACGAATTTCATGAAGTAAATACCTAGAATTAGAGTATATTAGAGATATGTATTAGGAGAAATAGATAGCATATCTTTGTTAATATCACCGGTAATAATAACATTACAGTCTACATTAGTCAGTGTATCAATTAAGTTATCAAATTTATTCCAGTAAGCAACATTTGAGTTTGGAGGTTTGTAAATACAACAAAGAAAACACATTTTGTTAGATGATCTAATTTCCAAGACAATATTTTCCAAATTTACTGATTCAAGATCACATCTTCTTGTAGCATTAATATTATTGTTTGTGTATATCATGACACCTCTACCTCGCCCTTCCTTCCTATAATTTCTATAGCAAGTAGGATGTGGCTCTGACTGAGATCAGTATTATTGACAGAATCATTTAGATGAGTTTCAGAAAAACCCAGAGAATATCAATTTCAAAAAAATCACTTTCATTAAGTACAGGCTTATTACGCAAAGAACGATAATTATGATAAATAATCGATATATTGCTTAATTCATAATTAACTTGACAATTGGGACCCGGATTAACATGCACATCACCTGCTCTTAATATGATAAATTTATAAAACAAGTCATTATAGAAAACCAACAATTAAGTAGACCTGTTGAGTGATCACTTTCCAACACACACATACAACACAACCTGAGTATTCTTAATATACAGTGCTATACTGTATTAGTGGGTATTTGTATTGCGTGATTGGTTAATGTAATGTATAGGCAAAACATTGATCGATTTAACTTCTTAACATATAATACTGATTGTTTTGTTTCAAAATGTAATGTAAAATTAAATATAGATTGGATTATTTTGTATTGGAAATTGAAGTATATATTTCAACTTGTCTTAAAGTTGGTGGCTTTAACAGTGTAATATAAATGAAATGTAGTTTTTGATATATTTACCTCTAAACTCTTAATATGTAGTGAAGGTTGTATTATAACTTGTATCGTATTTGGTGGTTTAAAAAGTGTAATATAAATGAATTGTAATTTTTGACATATTTGACTGTAAACTCTTAATATGTAGTGGAGGATATATTCTAACTTGTCTTGTATTTGGTGGCTTAAAAGTGTAATATAAATGAAATGTAATTTTTGATATGTTTGACTCTAAAACTCTTAATATGTACTGGAGGATATATTCTAACTTGTATCGTATTTGGTGGTTAACAAAATAGTGTAATATAAATGAAATGTAGTTTTTGATATATTTGACTCTAAACTCTTAATATGTATTGAAGGTTATATTCTAAATTGTATCGTATTTGGTGGTTAACAAAATAGTGTAATATAAATGAAATGTAATTTTTGATATATTTTGACTCTAAACTCTTAATATGTAGTGAAGGTTATATTCTAACTTGTATCGTATTTGGTGGTTTAAAAAGTGTAATATAAATGAAATGTAATTTTTGACATATTTGACTGTAAACTCTTAATATGTATTGAAGGTTATATTCTAAATTGTATCGTATTTGGTGGTTAACAAAATAGTGTAATATAAATGAAAAGTAATTTTGGAAATATTTGACTCTAAACTCTTAATATGTAGTGAAAGTTATATTCTAACTTGTATCGTATTTGGTGGTTAACAAAATAGTGTAATATAAATGAAATGTAATTTTTGATATATTTGACTCGAAACTCTTAATATGTATTGAAGGTTATATTCTAAATTGTATCGTATTTGGTGGTTAACAAAATAGGGTAATATAAATGAAATGTAATTTTTGATATATTTTGACTCTAAACTCTTAATATGTAGTGAAGGTTATATTCTAATTTGTATCGTATTTGGTGGTTTAAAAAGTGTAATATAAATGAAATGTAATTTTTGACATATTTGACTGTAAACTCCTAATATGTATTGAAGTTTATATTCTAACTTGTATCGTATTTGGTGGTTTAAAAAGTGTAATATAAATGAAATGTAATTTTTGACATATTTGACTGTAAACTCTTAATATGTATTGAAGGTTATATTCTAACTTGTATCGTATTCGGTGGTTTAAAAAGTGTAATATAAATGAAATGTAATTATCATGTATAAGTATTCAAAAGCTACAAGTCACACAGATAACATTCACACAGGTAAGTTACCTGTGAGGTAAGTTTGAAATAGACTTTAATTGGTTTCCTTTGTCTTTCTATATCAACACTTTTCTTTGTTCTCTCTCTCTCTCTAAAAAAGAGAGAGAGGAGGGGGGGGGGGGGGGGGGGGGCGGTGATAGTCCATGCATTCTTTATTACCTTAAACCTTGCGGTATATACAGTGCAAATTATACAGTACAGATATATACAAACAAAGAATACAACACTCCGACCATGCATACATGATAAAATTACAGCGATACTGTAGAGAGTGAATCCTTTCA